TACTCTTAATTGGTCAGGAGTGGGACTATCCACAGACTGTAATAATGGCAATCCCAAGTTTGGGATCAGGGCTGTAACAGCACAGTTGAGATCTAGACAAGCTGTAGATTTATTTTTAGGTGTACATGGGGTGCTAGTGTGGAATGTAACTTTAGTCAGACAAGGTGTCCCCAGCAGAAAGATCTTAATCTTTCAAGCAAATGTCTTTCTCAGTTCTGGCCCTGTTTTGCACTCAGCTGCTCATACCTCCTTCCTGCCTGTCAACCCCTTTCCTTGTAACAGGGTCGCAGAACCTTGGAGTTCCCCAAGCCTTTCTGGCATGGCAAATGGCTGTTCAGGGAATTTGTAGGTACTCAAGCTGGGTCCTTGTCTCTTTTAATCCTTAAACAAGGATAGACTAGAGGAAGACAGTCTGTATTCTTCTGTAAGAGATTGCCAGTGACCTAATATGACCAAAGGAAACAGCACTATGTCTCTTAATTGCTGTATTTCTGATCTAGGGCTTGGAAGACCCCATCATCTTTAGCACAATGTCAAAGAATCTGGCATGGTTCATGTAGTGAGATAATGACTCCTGGGTAAATATGCATGGATACCATGCTATGAATTATGGAGTTTCTCTCAGCCCTGTTTCAGTCAAAGTGGTTACAACCTACAGAAGTTTCTATAAGGACTGGAAAAGGCATTGGATTTACAATCCTGTAAGGACTGAAAACGGTCCACCCTGAGAGTGCCTTTCAACTCATCCAGTCTTTGGGGTAAGTGACCACTTCACAGCTCTGTAGACACATGGGAGACAAAGGGCGGGGGAGCAGCTACAACCCCAAGAGGAAGCAGTTTGAGTTGGGACCATCCCTAGCCCACACAATTTCTTAAGACATCTAAGGTATGAAGAGTAGACCAGGAACTTGATTCTTGGCAGCTGTTGGAGAATGGCAGTGTTCGCTTAAGGGAAGACGAGTGGGGAGACTTTCCCAGTATAGAAAGAACTTCTGTACAAGTGCCACATTTCCAAGCATAGATTGAGATCAATGAATATATCAAACAATTATGTCCACTGATACTCTGAAAGTCAGGTGCAGTTCAAACAGGTGGAGATTCAGTGTCAGACTCCAGCTTATAATCGAAACCAGCAGCACTGGTGAAGTCACTATGACACTGTGCAACCATTTGCTATGACAAAAGAGATGAGCCATGCAGAAGTGCATGGGCAGTCTCTACTGTGCTTCTCCACAATAAGCAGAATATACTAATGCAAAATCCAGCAGTTCTCCTAAGTTTTTTTTTTTCAGAATCCCTCTCCCCCAGTTTGAAATTCAGTGTTTGCTTGGAAACACTTGAGGCATTTTAATAGCACTTTTTTGCAAATGGAGATACATGAGACAGGAAAAAAAGAAAGTGGAAACCACACAAATGAGGTATTTGTGAAACAAACTACTCACCCGGGAGATCTGCTGAATACTTTCTTTAGCCTCCCAGCCAAATCTCTGCAGGAGAATGTTTAAAGCTGGTGCAGTTAACTAGGTATTCACAGATAGGAGAATTATGGAGATAAGGTGCCAAGCTGAGAGTTAGAAGATTTTGTTGTAAATAACCTCTTACATAGTAGTGGGCAAGTCACTTCACTGCATGGTAGTTCTACCCATCTGTAAAACAGAGATGGTAACATTGACTTTTCTTCATGAAACAGAACCTAAAGAACAAAAAATTCTGTACAAGCCTAATTCATATTCTGCTAGCAGGGATGGAAAGACTCATGTGAATTTGGTAGGTCAGAATCAAGCCTTAGAAGTTTTAAGCACCTAGAAGTAATCGTCACTGGTATAACCAGACTGGTAGTCACCAGACAGTAATGGTTTCAATAGTTTTGCTTTATCTGGAGTTCTCTCAAACCCAAGGTCACTCTTGGAAAAAGCCATCATGCAAATTGAAACTTGAGAAATCAACTAAAAATAACATAATTACATTCCATCTTTAGACCTCATTCCTGAAATTGTTCGGCATGTAGATCTGCTAATGAAAACAATGGGGAGCTTCTAACTGTGGGCTGATGACATCAGTGATGTTTTCTTGGTTCCCATAACAGACTAATCACATATTAAATGTCACGTGATTGCTGAGTCCTACCTTCAGAGAATTAGGTGCTGCAGACAGTGGTTTGGAACACAACTACTCTACTTAACACTTACTTATATACACCAGCAATAGATGCAGTCTTCCGTGCTAGTAATTTTTCTGCTTCCTAAATATTTAGCAAAATTGTCACTGTGGACTGGCATTGCTATCCAGAATGTGATCCCTAAGGCATGGCCCATGCATGGAATATTTAAGGGACATTAGTAGGACAGTTCAGTGATTCGTCCACATCTTCAGCTACTCTGTTCTCTTCCTATTGAATAGAAATAAAATCATAGAATCGTTCAGGTTGGAAAAGACCTTTAAGATCATCAAGTCCAACCGTCAATCCAACACCACCATGCCCACTAAACCATGTCCTGAAGCGCCATGTCTACGTGTTTTTTGAACACCTCCATGGATCGTGTTTCCACCACTTCCCTGGGCAGTTCCAATGCCTGACAACCCTTTCAGTAAAGAAATTTTTTCTAATATCCAATCTAAACCTCTCCTGGCACAACTTGAGGCTATTTCCTTTCGTCGTATCACTAGTTACTTGATAGAAGAGACCAGTACCCAAATAACAAGGCTGTGATTTTTCAACAAGCATACAGAAAAATTCATCAGTACTAAGGGTTCCTGAGGAGGCTGCAAGAGCAAGTTTCAGCTCAAGTTGCTAGGGAAGTATAATGCAATTTAAGAAATTAATTCCAAGAAGGTCAATGTCCTTGTCATTCAAGCACAACAGAGCCTGCAAGCTTCTTCCAAAAGGATCAATAACTGTTACCAGTGAACAACCTGACCCACAACCACTCCGCTCAGAGGTGTTTTGAGTTCCAGAAATGGACCAGTGCCCCCTCCATCACTAACAGTTTAGTTTGCAAACCCAGGCTCTGGTGTAGCGGTGGGAGTCTCAGAGATTTCAATGCAAAGCTCTGCTGACACAGCTGCCTCCCTCATTTCAGGATTAGAGCCATCAGCTTGTAGCAGTAGAGGCTTATGAAGAAGCCCAGCTCTTTGCTTATCCCCATGAGAACAGCAGCTCTCCCCAAACACAGCTAAGTGATTTTTAAATCAACAGCTCAGTACCTGCAATTTCACAGTTACTATTGCAGCCATGCCAAGTTTTTGTGCAGAGTGGTATTAAATAGCAGTAAGTATTATGAACAGAAAGGAAGTGCAACTCAGTGCAACCTTAAAACTTTAGAATCCTATTGAAATTAGTGTCTGCAAGTATTAAAAACACCTATAGCTTTTGCCATTTAAAAAAATGTATTGAGACACCTAATTATTTCATTGCTCACAAACCGAAACATTACTACCTCCCTTTTTGGGGAAATTGGCTAATTCTGCATGGAGAAGAAAGGAGGAGGCAGAGGCGAGATCTGCAGAAAAGACAGTTTATGTTGTGACAAACCAGTGACTTCTAAATAAAAGGCATAGAATACAATTACTGGTGCATGGATAGATGCATAGTATATGTCATATACATCTGTGTGTGTGTGTGTGCAAAGCAACAAATATAACTTGAAAAGACTTTTGCCTACTACTCATCTATGTTGTCCATCTGAAACCAGAGGATCAGAATCATATCTCCAAACCCTACCTAATGTATTTTTTCTTTTGGGCTTGTTTTATTACTTGGCTTCAAAACCACTGAAAAGTAAATGATAGTATCATGTAGTGTTCAGAACAAGCTAGTATGTGAATCTGGAAAAGGCACTGAAATTAAGTCTATCCATTGAGTTTGTCTTTCCTTAAAGACTTGCAGGACCACCCATTGCCTTACAGTGTCTAGGTAATAAGCATTGTGCAACCGAGGTGTAGGATGCTGCCAATACCACTCAGTTAACATATCTCAGCATTTGTGAAACTTCAGAAAGCACATTTTGACTGTTTTTTCCTCCCTTCAACCAAAATACTCATATTGAGCTGTGCCATATTTCGAGTATATTCTCAATACACTAATTCGCACTTTAAAACCCTAAATTAAATCCTACACTAAATAGCACTTTAAATTGTTTTATAAATGTCAAACAAGTCACACAGAGAAAACATACTATGCTCAGTCTATCCTCATGGGAATGTGTGGAGCAAAATGGGCAAATCCGACAACGTATTTTCATTATTTACAGCCGAGAGTAAATTTTACTCTATTTTCCAAATTCATGGCCTGCTGTAGTGTTTTCTATATGTAGTGTCCTGTGCCGGCATTGCAAATACTGTATGTGTTTCAGAGGAAAACATCAGAAAATGGATTGCTTTTTTAAAAATCCACATTCTGCTGTCATATTTCCATATGTAATGTACTCTGTGTGTCTAAAACGTGTACAGCCATTCTGCACGACTGATACCAGAAATGCTATAAAACAATCTGGGTAAATTTTGGGGAGGGGAAGAACAGGAATTTTCCCCTCAGTAATATTGCACACAAGTATAAATCAGCACAAACAGAATATACTCAAATACTAAAACACAACTCACAGTCCACTGCCTCTCCAAAGCTCTGAGCGACAGTCGGCTTCATGACAAACAGGTCATTCATGCACCATCCGATGTCATGCAAAAACGTAATCTGATTTCTAACCGCAGTCTTCTGCTCGCAGGACTAGGAACCAATGCACGCCCGTTTCTGAAACTGCCCCTCTATGCGGAAGTACAGGTGGCTGCTGTTACACCTAACGCGATCACGTTTTGTTTCTCCTCCCACTTAACAGACTTCATTTTATTTTGGTGCAGTGCACATGAACGCAGTGTCTAGGACAGATGTGCTACCTTTTATAGTGTCGCTATAGAACTCTTTAGCTGTGAACCCTTAATTTGCAGCTGGAACTCTAACAAACAGTGCATAGTGTTTCAATAGCCTTCTGCTTATATGTTTGAAGATTCGAAACTGAATGGTGAGGTGGCCAAGGCGGCGCTGGCAAATGAAGACTGTCCCCACATAGACCAGGCTATTACGCCTGATGAGGGCCTGCCCTTTACCCGCTCTGGCACTCGGGAGAGATATGGACCCTGCTTCCTCTTATCAACCGGGGAATATCCCTGCCCGCCTGATGGAGGAATAAGAAAGGGTATGTAGCTGGGGTCCTGTAACCATGTAGTTAGCAACCGTTTTAAATAAAAAAGAGAAAGTCAGCTGTAGTTGTAGCACGCAATAGTGTGCTTGCTGTAGACATGCACGTTTGGGCTGGAAACCACCACCTGATGTCTGCATTTGGAGTTTCTAACCTATTTCTTTCAGAAAGAAAAGCCTGAGGAGCTGTAACTACCCCATGCAGCTATGCTAGCCAGCCGAGTCTTCCACCGCAGCTGGTGCAGTAAGCTTTAGTGGAGGATGCTCTACAATGTCCTTAAATTAGCCCATCCCCCAAGGAGAGGCCAATTAACAGTTCATAGCAATGAAAGTTTGCCGCTTAGAAAGCTCACAGATCTTACCAGACTCTGAAGAGCACAGACTTGGACGTGGCAGACAGAAAAGATAAAACACATAAGCAAAACATCCTCAAGAAATATGAAATGATTATTCAGCTACCTTAACAGAGCACTAAAACAAATTATTTGGATATTCATAGCTGTTTAATTCAACAGAGAAAGAGAAGCATACAAGAACATCTGGTAGCACAGGTGTCTTACAATTGGAAAATAATCCATCTAAAATCACTTTCATAAATAAATCATTACTAGTTAGTTTCTCAGACTTCTGACAGCTACAGATCTCTCAGAAGTAACTGCATTTTAGTTTGCTAATGGTCAGAATAATCTATTTACCAAGAGAAGTCAAATCAAATGAAAAAAAAACTTCCCTTCTTAAAACAGGCTGTTTTGTTTAAATAATTTAACATGAGGAAACCATAAAACCCAGAATTAGTTACATATATATGCATCAACATTGATAAGGAATGGCAAAATTGGAGAAGAAATCTCTCTCCAAATCAGTGTTTATCACTGGTATACTGTATATAGCATATGATATAGTCAATATTTTAAAACTGCAAAGATTGTATGATATAACCATACACTGAGTATGGACTATAGAATTCCCATGTGCCATTGTATGATGGGCAATAGTTATAGTAAATGCCAGTTATAGATAGTGTATGTATTTATAAGTTTAAAGCTTATCATCAACAAAGATATAGTTGGACCACAAGACTTTCATATGAAAGTATATCCTCTAAAATTTACCTTTGTAGCAAAGCGTTTTACTTGATTCTGTATTGGATAAGCATTGGCCGCGTTCATTCAGCCTGGGCGAGTTCGGGTGGTTCCAGTGGATCAGGGGAACACTCCAAATGGCACATCCTTTGGGATGAAGAATGTATGGTTTTCACGATGCACTGCAACCGCCTCTCGTTACTGAATGAAACAGAGGCTGGTTGGCTAAAGAGTAATATACGTCAGCATATTGTTGGCCTGTTTGAAACACGTTGAGAGCATCTTAATTGTTGTTCCAACAGACTTTCATCCATACTTTGTGCAACTCTCTGTACACTTGCTGAGCTGTTTACGTGCATGTCTGAAAAAGAAGGGGGGAAGGAGGGAGGGGGGAGGGAAACCAAATGCATGCAATTTTGTTTTCTTTCTTTTTTCTTTTTTTTTTTAATGCTGAGAACAAAGGAGTAGTATCTCTATAGCAACACAATAAATTCTATGGATTTTGCTGCCTTTTCCCCCTCCCACCCCCAAAGATACCAGAAACCTTAATTTTGCCTGAGGTCAAAATGCATGAAGTAGAAGGGAGAGGCACGAGTATGACAGAGACATAGAAAATCCCTCCCACTGACTCTTTTTGTTTTTTTAGGATACAACCATGTTGCTGCCTGTAGGATCAATTACATAGCCTGACCATCCTTGAGAAAAGATGATTTTTTAAATATATATATATATATTTTTAAACTTGTTCTCTACTCCAATGGCCTTTCAAGTCATGTTGCAAGCGATACTACTCTCGGCATGTCCATGCATGCAGATGCTATTGAACTGGCTACAATGTTGACCTCATTCTTAGTCCATTCTGTCATTGATCCAATGCTGTACTTTGCATTTTTCTTTTAAATGAAGGTTACGAAATGTCACGGAGCCTTAACAGCATAGCTGGCATAAGTGGAAAAGCGATAGGATTATCCTCAGTGTCTGCGCCCTACAGCTCTCCTAGTCCAGTGAGACGTTCTTGGTCTCCCATCCCATCTATTTTGTAGCATGGATCAGTAGCAGAGAATGGTCTAAAAAGCTTTACTTTCAATTAGCCTATGCTATGTTGCATATAATCCAGGTGACTAAGTCTGAAGATGCAATGTCTCACAGTAGCACCTGCTGGGAATGGTGTTACTACTGATGCTAGGTGACAACACTCCTAAAATAGCACTCAGATGACAATAGGCAGGCATTTACGTAGTACTGGTGGGCCATACATGCTGCATGGTTCAGTACATAGGATGAAGGGTAGATGCACCAGACAGTTTTCTTCCTGGTGCATCCTGCTAGTATATGCTTATTTTGGCTAATGGTGGATCTACTGGCTCTGTATGGAATGGGTTAGGCATTTAGTCGATGCTGAAACATGCCAACGATGGAAGATTTTGCTTTTCTCAGGATATTTTTGAGCCATAGGAACCCTGCAGGAGTTTGAGCAAACAAGCACAGTAGGATGAAACTTTGCATGGGCGCCTATGTTAAGCTGAAAGCAATACTCAGATACACTGTAGAGAGGTCTCAGTCTGGCTGACTGCATGGGAAAAAAAATCCTGTTGAAGAAGAATATGGCTGCCTCTGCATGTAGCTATTTCACCTTTTCCTCCTTCCTTTAAAACTAAGATGCCGAGCTTGATGTGAAAAGCGCAGGGAAGAGGCTCAAGTACTGATTGTATTCTTTACATGCAGATCTTTGCAAAGAAAGTCCAGTCATTGCTAAATATATGCCAACAGAGGCAGTCAGAGTGACCTGACAAGGCAAGATGGAGATGAACATTGATGGCTAATAAACATCTGTGTGGAACTGTGCAGGCATAGAAGACCTTCTCATTTGGACAAAGTTAACTCGCTCCATGCAGGTTTTATGGATGATTCTTCGTGGTTTTGGAGTTGTATTAGAGATGCAGGCTTTTTCTACGGCCAAAATGTAACAAAACTGTAGAAGATCCTTTTTTTTTAAATCTATTTTTTTGTTCCATAGCATGAATTGCATGAAGACAAAAATTAGAAAAAAACAAAAAACAAAAAACAAAACCCAAGAAACACTGCAAATGTATGATTAAGGAGAAAAAAAAGCAAAGTTATATATTTTCTTTCAAAGCTCTTTACTTTTACATACATTGTTGTAGCCAAAATGTAAAACATTATAAAACTGTACATTTCTTTGCTATGGATCGCTTCTTTTTGTATACAAGATACAGAGTAATGGTTTTAAAAAGTGCAATCAGGCAGTCATCGGTCATATTGACCACGCCTTCACAGTTCATCACACCGACATGGAAATCAAGAACTTTTAATCCAACTAGAAGTGTATAAAAATAAGAAAAACTTTTTCCTGTCTGTTTTTGTTGGCATGCTTGTGACACATGGGACCTTCCTTCGGACCTGACAGTAACAGCTGGTTCATTTTCCAGCTCTGGTTATGTTGTATTTTATCAATGTATAGATCCAACGTAAAGACCCTTCATAAATTGTTCATATTAAGTAATCAGTATGAATTTTAAACAAAAGAGATGTTATTTTAAAACTGGGACTTATAGTACAAAATCAGGAAAATACTCAAGTATAAATGGTCTCAAAGTTTAAGAAACAAGACAACAGCATTGTATGCAATTTAGTACTGAGTAAAATGCATGCACAATGTTATGCAAAACAATTCTAGCATGAAATAAATTTTGTATCATGGTTTCAGTGCCTGCTGTATAGTGTAAAGGGGAATCCTTTTCTGAAGCGATCAGGGGTTTCCAGAGACTTGCTTCTAAAATCTTGAATAAATACAGTGTTCTCAACAGAAATGTAGGAGAAAAGCTTGGTATTGCTTTGGTTCTACAATACTAATTTTGGTTAGTAGATAATAAACGAAGCCTGCAAACACTTGATACAACCGATGTCTGAAGAATTCACACCATTAGTAATTTTATGAGGGAAGATTAAAAAAACCTATAATTATCTAGATATCTTCCTTTTCCCTCCCCAACAATAATAAAAGTTTGTCTTTTTAGCTCATTAAATGAATTCAGTTTTTCTTACTTCTTTGGGCCCTGGCCTTCACTTGTTCTTCACTGAGTCACAGGAGTCCACCTGATATGAAACTGAAAGAATCCAGGTGTCCAAGTCGCACTTTATTTGCCACACAAAACATGCAGCAGTAAGAACCAAGAAACACAATGGGATTAAATTTCATTTTAGATGCTACAAACGACAACTATGGACTGTGTGTCAACAGCATTCTAGTTGCTTGAGCATTTTTGGTAAAGTACTTCTATAAGGAAGGACACACCTTCATCCTCATGTGAAGAACTTCAAAAGAGCTGGCAACCTTCTAGGCAAGCTACAGCATCTGCGACTGCTGATGAGAATGGAAATGTAAAAGAATAGTATCCCTTTAGTCTGGAGGAAGTAGAGCCTAAACCCCCAAAAAACAGAAGAAACACTCATAGCTCTGGTAAGTGCTAAATTATAAACAAAAAAACCAACTGCAGCTGGACCTTGTCTTCAAAAAACTCTACTCCAAAAGGAAAATCAAGGAAGACCTCAAGCTGCATTTTAGGAATAGAAGAAAGGCTGATAATCTGAATGTGTACGAAATTAGAAAACTCCTTTGTAGTCCCTGATGTACTTAATTTCTGCTTCTGTTGACTATCCTTTCTCCCAAGAAATATTTTTCTCCCACTGTTTATATGCTGTCATTCTCAACTGATAAATGGGCAATTTCTTACATCCAGAAGTGAGATCCAGGTTAATCCAGGATCTAAAAGTCACCTAATGAACAAATTTTCCTTTTATAATGTATTAAGAATCCAGAAATAGATTTATCTGCCCCATTTTTATTTAACACTAACTCAAGGGCCCAGCGTGAAGGCTGCTCAATTCTCCATTACGATAAGGAATACTAATAATTCAGCCCTGTAAATCCCATGTAGGTCTTCCCCTTCCACTGCACTTTGCATTTATATGAGCCTTAGCTAACAGGTCAAGCAGTCGTCATTCTGTGCTACTTTTTACTTCTACCAGTCCCATTTTCATTTAGGTACTCCTCTCTCAGCTTACTCTGATTTGAGATAACCATGTCTTTTAGGTGACTTTTATAAACCCTTCAGAAACAGAACAGTACTTCCCATCCACTGTCCTTCAGGAGATGCTCTAAAGCTTAAGATCCATCTGACCCCAGAGTTCCCCTTGCACAACAGTGGCAGCTCTGATAACACAGGGAAAGAGGGAGACAACTGGAAAATTTCAGGAGGTGTTACACCAAATCCTGACACTGAATCCTAAGAGAAATTTATCATATCATCTCAGCTGCCTTACATTTAAGGAGCTTTTGCTGGGGTATTATGATTAAAATAATTCCTTCAAGCTTGCCCACTCCCACCACAGGAAGTATGTATCTTGATTGAAGCATTAAAACTATACATGTGGCTAGATTCTGAGCTCAGGCGTGCAATAATGCCACCAACTACTTCTGACTTCACACCATCGTAAGAGCAGAAGCACATTCTGTAATTCAGTTACACTCTGCCTGTTTCCTGCTAGACATGAACATCCGGGTTTCTTTCTCTGCAAACTCAGCTTTTGGCAATGGACTCCCAGCTATACGACCTGATGCTGGTCCTTCATCTGAATCCACTGGCAATTAGTGGTTTATTACTACCTAATATTAAAAGCACACCTCAACCACACCTTCTACACATATAGCTTTTCCTCTGACTGCATGAAGGTACTCGTTGTTTCTGGACCAACCTGACGTGTATCTGCAACTACAATTTCAGACAGCAAGGATCTGAGAAGTGGTTTCTGTTCTCTCACTCCAACAAAAAAAATCTAGCTAATACCGCTGTGATAACAGTCAAGTGCAGCAGTCATTAATCTGGATAAAGTGATTTTTCACATAAATTGCCTTCTCTCTCCTTAAAGTTTCAGGGCCAAAGAGAAAATACATCACTGGAACAAATGGCTGCTAGGACAAATGAGCAGACTGAAATACAGAAGAGGGCAAGCAGGGCTAAGGCAAGGGCATTCACAAAGGAACTGAGCACAGAGCTGCTTACAAAAAAGATATCCTGAAGAAAAAACAAGTGCAGTTTTTACCCTGCCACTTTGCATATCCTTTTCACAGTTTCAAAACAAGCAGCCTACCTCTCTGCTTTCCATATATATCCTGGAAGCAACTTTGTCTCCGAGCTCACACACAGACTAAATTAACTTCATAAAAATGTGCTTAAATTATGGAGGTTATTTTTAAGTCACTCACTTATTTGAGTTTGGGCATAAAATACCTGTCTGTTCAGAGGTCCCAAAGCCTCTGCATTCATCCAGGACTGCAGGTGCAATATTTCTCTCTTTGGGGGATACAAATGCTTATTTGCAATCAAGAACAATATTTGAATTCAAATTGAACTTCAAGTTAGAAAATGGGTCCAGAACTGCATCTCTTGACTCTCTTTCCTTATCTGACAAAGCAAATGCTTTAAAACTAAGCACATTCATCTGCCCCCATGGAAAGATATATTCCCTGGTTCAGGCCGACAAAGCCAGGTTTTCAACCCTCAGCATTCACTTGAATATTTAAAAAACTTTATGCAAGTACATGGGTCCAAACATCTCCAGGTACCAAATATTAAGAGCGCATGCTCCAAGGCTTCCATTGATTTCTCTACTGCCCATGGAGCACAGATTAGAGATTCCTTAGTCAGCAAAAGGCAAAGTATTGCAGTTGTATTAGCTCAGATATCACTCTAAGCTTCTGGACCCAAAGGGCTTAGCAGGGACAACACAGCCTGTGCAGAGGCTGCTGACAGTGAGTCACACCAGAACAAACAGGAGACACATGGCTTGAGCCCAAGCAAATAAGCTCAGCAGGAGCCATGCTTTGCGGTGGTGGTGTCAGTGCAAGTGGGTGACTGGAGAAGAGGCGGCAGTAGCACAAGAGGTGGGAAATGAGGAGAAGGACACAGGATGGGTCTGGAAAATGGGTTATGCAAGTAGGAGGGAGTGGAGCATATGAGGAAAGAGCAATCCGTGGTGAGGGGGAAAGAAGAGCAAGGCAAGAGGGAAGTAGTAGCAGTGAGGCTTACCTAAAAAAAAAAATCAAGGACCACTAGCGCAGAAGGTAGACCCTTGGCCTGGGACTCAGGAGATGGGAATTTTATTCTTGGCTCCACTTTGGACATGCTGAGTTAGCTTGGTTGGGGCATTTCAATTTTTTGTGCCTCAGCTTCTTTCTGTGACATTATCCCCTTTTTAAAGTGTTCTGAGGTCAAAAGAGGAAAAGCAGTATTTAAGTAGGAATAGTTAGTATAATCTATCTACTCAGAATTAAGGCACCAGAGGAGAGAAGCATCTCTCCATTATTTAAAAGATGCCATGTTTCCTTGTCTGCAGAGGAGCACAGAACCCCTGTAGGAATCCCTTTTCTTTTGTACTTTAAAGCAGAGGATTATTATGGAAAATGATTAAGCACCCACACAGTTAAAATTACAGAGCATCTTCATTACTGATTGGCAACTCCTCTGCTGCCCTAATTTAGGTACCACATGTCTTCATGCATTCAAATCAGTAAAAACAAAACAAAAGCTAAACTCGTTTGACATCTGCAGCAAAAAACTAAAATCATGTCAGAATCTTAAAAATCTCCCCACTCTTGGACCCACTTCTAAATATAAAAAAAAAAAAAGTAAAAATGCAGAGTCTTATAGCAGTGTTCACATATACTTAAAAGATCATGATGATCAGAGACTACTGGAATCATATTGAATTGAAATTCTGCAACTTCCACTGACAAAGTCTTGATCCCAAACCTTGCAGAAAAAATTCTCCCCAAGGTTGCATTGTATCTGAATAACAAGGGGTTCCATAGGCAAAGCAACCTGGAAATAGATGAGAAAGTTGAAAATTAATTGAGAGGCTAACCAACACAGAAATCAGACTTAGACTCAACCCCCTCCCAACCCGTAAAGGCTTGTCTGAAAAGGAATCAAAATCCAACACGTCACAAAATAAAAATGCCTGAGGAAGTTTTGCAAAATAAACGTCACCTCTGATTTTTTTCGTCCTCACAGCCAGCTTTTATTCAGGAATAATTACTTTGCTGCTCTTGTTTCTCATTAAGCTGAAAAATGTGTTCTCCCAGTAATCTAAATTTATGCTGCCTCACTCTCTCACAAGGTAACACATGGTTCATCCAGGTCATAACTCAAATACAGAGACCATTTTCATTGCTGAGTATTTTCAGCCACATACTCTCTTTCCATGTTCTACAGAGGCATTTATGAGTAAAAACTGCCTCTGCATTAAAACCAGGTGAATGCAGAGACAACTGATGGATGAATCTGAATGAAATCCACAAACAGCTAAAGAACGTGCCTTACTTCAGTCCCTTCAACCTCTAAATGGGTTACAAAATAACAATGGCTTTACACATGCAGTTTCTCCAAATTAACTTCAAAAGCACATATGGTAAACACCTCCCTTTACAGTTATTTTTTGGGACATTCATCGAACAGAAAGCCATTTCCATACAACCAAAGCATTTTAATTCAAGGCTATCAAATCATTCTTTCTAACATGGAGAAAACATCTAAGACCAGCATTTATCAGGAATTAAGAATAGCAAAAAGCTAATAAAAAAGAAGAAAGCATGTACCTTTTTTTGCACATAAATCAAGATATTGATATGTCAAAAGTTCAAATGTCCAATTATTTTTGTGTCAGCTAGAGTTTTCAGCAAATTCAGTGTAAGCTCCACTGTGCACATTTTCTACTGTGCACATTTTTAAGTGCAATCAAAACCACACAAGATGATTCTCTACCACAGACCGCACCCATTCCCAGCCTTTGGGAAGCATGACATGTTTTCTGCTTCAGTATTTTCTTCTTCCCTTTACAGAATATTCAGCTGCTCAGAACTATAAGCTGGTAGTAAATACCACAAGCATGACTCAAATACTGATAAAAAATTCTAGAGCCTTTTTTAAGAAAAAATCCAGCTTAAAGAAAAAGCACAAGACTTGCCATATGACGTAAAAATATCAGAATTGCTAAGAAAACACAGGGGACTTTTTGGTGAAAACATAACATCACAATTTCAGTGACAAAGATCTGTCATCATCGTGATTTCTAATACAGGGGAAAAGGAAGTGGAAGTCTCAAAATTACTTAAGTCTTGTTTAAATCAGATCCAGATTTCATGGAATTTAAAGCAAAAAATAGTGAGTATTTGATTAAGTGCTGGACTAGGTCACAGGCCTGATCTAAACATTTCTGAGGCTGGAAAGTGAGGACAGATGTTGCTGTTCCAGCTGAAGAGAACTGGAAATTTCAAGATGTGCTATGAATGAGAAAGAAAACCCATTGCAGGTCAATAATTCTTATTATTATTAATAAATAGTGGGAGAGGTGGAACAATAACGTCCAAGAAATAGAATAGATTGTCCCTCATCTCACTCCCACCATACCAGCAGGTTGGAATGCTGCTATCCCTGTATGATTATTCAGTCTTCAGGACCTGTGTCTTGATTCTGTCTTCCCCCTCCACCTTCCTTTTCCCCTATGTTTTAGCTGACTACATCAGGCACTCTGCTGCCATTCATTTAAATGTTCTTCCATGGTCACCTTTCTCCCATACAGTCAAACTGATCTCCTTCATCTGTTTTCCATCCTCATATTTAAGTCTTATGACTCAAAAAATGTCCTATAAAGCAAAATCAAATCATATTCTTCCCCTCCTCCTCAATTTCACTGTGCTCAGCCATGTAACCAAGCAAAAGCTCCTGTCACTCATGCAGAAATGATCTTTATGGTGGTTGCAGATGGCAAGAACTAGTTAGTCGCCACCAGGACTGACAATATGCAGGTAGGGGAGCGAAGTCAGTGTCATGCAAGAAGTGGTGACTGGGCAAACAGGAAGAAAGGCAGGACTTAATTTTTCTTTCAGATGAACACCTTCAAATACAAGGTCCAGCATTCTAAGCAGAAAAGCATCAAGTCACTCAGGAATGCTACACAAAGTCAAATAACAGCAGTGACTGCCAAGCAGCCTGAACAAATCCTACAAGAGATAGAAACTTCTGACACCACACACACATCTTCTACCAACATTCTTTAAAATGGAATAGGAGTGTCTTGCACAGGCGCACATGGAGGTTGCATGAGTAACAACTGCAGATCTCCTAGGACTTTCAACAACAGAAGTACACACAACAGCTTCCTTCTTTCCCTCCACCCTGAAAGCTCTCTGGGCTGAAGGTCAACAGTTCAAAACTTGTTACCCAGCAAAGTTGTGATATTAAGTACACCTTTTCCTCCTCATGAATGTCAGCTCATTGGCAGGTTTGCTTATTTTCAGAAAATGGGAGGGGAAAGCAGCTGCACAGACACTTGCTTACCTTGTTCCAGTGTTATATATATTACAGACCATGTCAGCTTATTTGCATCTGAATGTGAACACAGAATGCTTACGTAAAAGGCTTTCTTTGTTTAGCAGTGAAGACCTGCATAAAGAAGTCTGTCTTTGCACGCACTGCAGAAGCATTGGCATGGCACACACTGGCTCTGCATTTTGCCTTGCAGAGACTGACCTTCTCCATCAGGACATCCACAGGCAACAGTCATAAGGTCTGGACACCAGCAAGGAAAGGATTTTCTTCACTTGATTAGGAGCTTTACACTGTGTGCTCCCTACCTTACGGTAGAAAGCCTTAGCTGATTTTGTACAATGTTTTATTCTGCAAACAAAGCATACTGACATAAAAAACAGGGCATTCATGTCTGAATGAATGAGCAACAACTTGGTTTTGACATTCAACCACGTACCATCTACAATGAATCATTATTCACTCTTCATACTACAGCAGCATCCAGAAGTCCTGACTGACGACAAAGTATTTAGTACATCAAGCTCTCAAGACAAGTCATTACTTCTCAAAGTTTTCAACATATACAGGCAAGACAAAGGAGAGAAAATGCAGTTCTCGCTCTTTCAAAGATGAAGATTGGATGCGGATATGAAACACAAGATCAGAACCAGGAACAAACCAAAGTACTCCTTTCTTTCCTCCTTACCACCCCAAATAATTCTTTGCATTTCCAAAAGTGTGTTTGTGTTACAGATGTGAAGAAGTGAATAACATTTCAAATAACCAAGCTGCATTTATTTGTTACATAATTTGTTGGATTCTTCTGAAATGAACTGCAGCAACAGCATACACGGTCAAAATATGCTCACTACAGTAACCCCTATGTTATAGGGTGCACATACTAGCTGTGATTAATCAAGGAACAGAATTATTTAGAGGGTATGATTACTGAAACAAGATAACACATCTATTCAGTACACAGATTTTGGAGGAAAACAAAGGTAGAAATCTCAGACAGAAGTGCCAAAAAAAGAATTAGAAACTGTTCAGTGCATGTAATAGAAAGGCTGTGGTATCTAGAAAACAGCATTAAGGAGAGTCAATAAATAGCAACTTAGATAAGTAAAAAGTGCAAGAAGTCACAGCCTAGAACAGTATATTACCATGAAGAACCACAACCAACACATGGATTAAAAAAGCCACTTTACAATAGAAGTCTCAATTCTGCACTTTTTGCAGAGGACCTGTTTGATTATTCTTACAGATTCTTTCAGTATCTGTAATATAGTTGTTATAATCAGCTTCACAGTCAGTTCAAGTTTCTCATCCATTGAATAGAAAAAGAAAATGCCTTTGAAAATTAGCCCATGAACTGTAACCACTGTAAAACCAAGGGGGAAAGCAACCCTAGCAGGCCATATGACTACCTTAATTCCTTCCCCCTCATGTGTAAGCTGATACATCATTAGAAAGTCTTCCTGTCCTATTTCCTAAGAGCCCTTCTCTGAGTATTTTGTAATTCTGTAACATTTCTTCCCTGGCAAGCCTGCTTTAAAAATTAAACCACTGTTTGGCAACAGTAGGTCTCATTAAAAGGTGCACTTAGCACACAGTAGTATTCTCTATATTTAGAACTTGAAATACATCAAATACCACAGCAAATGTAACTAACGTGGGTGGTAAACATCCAGTTTAATGGCAGCCACTGTATTTGTGTGAAAAACAGTTTTATAAATAGCTTCCAAAATTCTGCTCAACATAGGCTGCTAATAATACCTGAAGATAATTTACACTTTTTCATTTCTCCAACCAAAACAAGTGTTAGGCCTATGTTCTCTGCCAAGCATTCACCTGGAACAAGTACTGTGGGCATGCTCTGAACAGTAACGCAGCTGGGCTGCAAAACAGATGCGAGAACTAACCTGAAATTATCAGGAGCATTCTGGTCTGCCTTTTAGGCTGGAGAACTTGTAAAAACTTTCTGGTTAGATTTTGATGTCTTCCTATTCAAATGCAGCTGGAAACACAGGAGCTACGTTGGATCAAACTGTCCTCAACAGCTACAACTCACTTGACAGTGAGTCAAGACAAGAACTTTTCTATTGTTTCTAAGGGCTCTTAGAAGTTTTTCTTCCCTAAGCAGTAGCTTCAGAAACTTCAGGTTCGGTTTGCAAGTTAATGATAATTCATGCGGATCTGCATCCCTGTAAATCTATAATAAACTGATGTCTGGCACAGAAGACAATTCCTCAGAAATATTGCTCCTTTCACAGTTTCCCCTTTTACCAGCATTCTCAAGTATATCTCTTTTTTTTTTTTTAAATCCTAATCTTCTGTTTAAAATGTGTGTATGCATCTATTTATGTTCGCTGGCATTTCTCTGTGATGCAAACTGGATTTTCTGAGATGCTAAGAGCTCACAACTCCAGCAGAAGTTGGCAGATGCAACACATGCTCATCATGATGTAAATATACAATAACAAAAGACCAGAAGGGGCCCTATAACTCCACCTTCTCAGACCATTTCCTCAGACTGAATTTATACACTGATGATAAATGATCAAGCAGTCAGTTTCTTCCTCAAAGACTTCTCAGACGAACAAGAAAAAGTAGTTCTTTCTTCAACGGTATCATGTCAAGGCAAAACATTTGTCATTCTATCTGTGGGTAAGAAAGTCAATTGCTGTGAAAAAGGCCCATGACACAATTTAAAAAATATTATAGTTTTCTATGCATACTCGTTCCTTTTAGTCTTAGAAAAAACTTCTGCACTTTCAAAATATTGTTAATCATGGGCAATCCTCTTGTAGCACTTCTGAGCTACACAATCCAAAAGATGTCCATCCACATCCACGATGCTATGGTTTCAGGTGTGATGAGTCTAATGTGGAGTTTGACAAAGAGCCATGGAGTGTCCTGCCCCACATCCAATTAAGATCTGTTCTGTGCAACCAAGAGCTTTGACTGGCTTAGGGACATGAACATTTGCTTCTGTGCCATCACCACACATCCCATGCTCGTTCCATCCCCAAGAGAAGCACCGGCCACCTAAAAGAGAAGATACAAAATACAGAATAAAGACCACAGAAACACAGCAGCTTTGGTTAGTTTTGGGGAGCAGATGTGTCAAGTCATCTTCTAATTATGTTCCAAGAAATTCTGCAAAGATGGGGAAAAATGTTCTGGTTCTCTTGAAAATGTAAATAAACCCAAAAGAATTATTCTCTATCTTGTTCCATATTGCTAACAACATAAGAGAGATTAAAATAACAAAGACATTTGAAAATCACTTAGTAAATACATGGTTCAGTATTTATGCAGAGCCCACAGAAATCTCTCTGCACTTTAAGGACCTTCCCTGAAATGATGTCGAATCCCTGTCTTTCAAGTTCCCCCTGGTAAGCAAAACTATCACAAACCAAGCCCCATGACTTTAATCATTCACAACATGATCTGTAGGATTGGGGAACACAGAGTCACAGAGCAGCCAAATTACATCTCACTCCTACTTTCAAGTTCACATCTCAGCTTTTTCCTTTAAATAAAGTCTTCAACAACTTGCCTTACTCAATTATCCTATCTCTTCTGCTTGCTTTGACATCATTTCTCTGCTTTTATTATCCTTATTTTCCCTCATTATTATTTATTTTTGTAACATCTACTTTTATATCCCAAATCATGATCCATGTATTATTACCCCATAGTACTCTTTCTTGAAGCACAATATGTAAATTTTGTTCTATAAATGGCTGGCATAATAAAAAATCCACCAAAAAAACCCTCTTATTCTGAACTACAAAAGATATTTCTTTCCTATTTTCTTTTCTTTATTTGGCTGTCACAGACTGTGCCTGGGAATTTCTGTAATAAAAAGAAAGCCATCCTGCCATATAATCATGTTTCTGATGCCACTGTTATTTTTGAAAAGCAGCAGGTATTAACAGCATGAAGTACCATTCTGGAGTCCAAATAATGCGAAGAAAAGTGCCAGAATTCACAAAATCCAATTCCAATTCTAAAAGAATTTTACTTTTCAAAATTCAGAAACAGATTATTGTAAAGCTAGCAGGACCATCTTTCTCTCCTGCAAATCCAGTAACATTTCATCATCATCTGTTTTCTTTACATATTAGTATATTAAAGTTCTCTTCCGTAATTAAGTGTAAACATTATTGAAGTCAGATGTAATTAAACAATGACCTTTAATTTTCTTGACAATCTTTTAGGCAATGGAACACAACAAAACACCACTAGAAAGTCACAGTAGGCTAGATACATCTCACCTAATATACAGCAGTTCCGTTATCTTAGAAGGCACCAGATTTTCTCATGACTATGCACACGCAATATTGACAGCCCAACCTGTATCACAAATGCATGTACCTATGCTGCAGAAAAGTACCAAAAAGTAAATGTGTTGCAACATATCCCATTTAAATACCAACAGATCAGAACATCTAAGAGGTTAATTGGAATTTTTTTGTAAGGTTCCAGGTAAAAATATTTATGTAAATATTAACAAGCAGGAAAAAGACATCACAAACCGAGACTAAAGACACATCACAGAAAAATTATTTGGGGGGGTTGGGGGAGGGTGGGTGGGGGGTGGGTGTCAAAGAAAGAAAACCAGCTGCACCTAAGAAAAGGCATTCTTTTGCACAGTTAACCTGTGCACACATGGAACCTGCAGAAGAAGCCTACTTAAAGTGGGAAAACTTCCAAGTTTAATGAAAAGGGAATATAGCATGCCCATATAATAATAAGATGGCTGTGGTAAGCTTTTTGTTACTAGACCACTAGCAATTAGTACAACAACTTGCATGTTTGTGTGGAGACTCACTATATCTGACTAAAGGATTTTTTTATTTATTTTTTTTATCCTGTCCCATCAGGACAAGAGAGAGGAAACAGAAAGTTTTTGGTCACCTTGAATTACAAACTGCTCAATGGAACATTAATGGCATAATAAATATTCAAAGAAACAGCACAGTAGGATATTAACCTCTCAAATTGATAAATATATCCAGTCAAACATCTTTTGAAAAAACATCACAGAAAAATTTACAAGCTAGGAAACCCCCAGATGAGAACATCTCCCCTAAAATAAAGATCACTGAGTCTTTTCCAGCCTTTACTTCTCCAAGAATGTAGAAAGGCCACCAAACAGATCTTTCTACATGACTCCAGTGAGCTCCAAGGTTACTGAAATGGGCTGAGAGTGAAAACTAGCAAAAGAAAAATACAGAGTAACTACGATTTATGAATGGTCTTATACAAAAATGCCTTATACATAGATGAAGATCTAGGCAGAAGTCTGAAGGGATGAAAGGGCAGCTGACAGATACAGAATGACAGGCCACAAAAATGATTCTCATCACCATCAAGTCAGAAGTCGGGAAAGCTAAAAGGCAGAGAATTATTGTTGTGAAAATAAAAGGTATACTATACCATATCTGACTGTAGAAGATTTAGAGAAAGGTTTGCACATTAAAAAAGTCAGATATTACATTTGTGTCAGAGAAAATAGAATTTGCCAAAAATGGAGTCCATTTTTTTATAATAACATATTAACAAAACTTGGAGGAGGGTTGGGCAAAATGGCTGTGGTGACACTGGCCAGGAGGGAACAAGCAGCTGTGTGAATCACTGCAACAGAACCTGAAGTCAATGAAGATCGAAGATAATGAAGCACCTATTAAAAAAATGACATAGAAGGAATATCTGCAGAGTTAAGGAAAGGCCTTCATTAAGGGGAACTAATGGCTAGCCTCTGGACAAAGGGCACCATTTCATTTCAATTCCTTTTCCTTCCCCCACAACCCCCCCCCCCCCCCCCCGCTTTTTTTTTTTTTTTGCTTGTTTTCTTTTTGATTGCTTCTATTCAGTTTATTGCTGATAAAAACCTCAACGCAGCCCCAGCAGCCCTACAAGCTTTCACAAGAAAATTCAATTTTTATGCCTGTGCCAGAGCTTCCCAGGATGAAAGACCATTAGAATGATGTGTATTAATACAGCTACAAATTGCTTCTAACTAAATTTAAAACAAGCACTGTAGCATGTTCTCAAACCAAATGATTTGTGTTTGGTGAGGTGAGGAGGGAAAGTTGCTCCATGTCACTGATGAAATGAAACAGCACAATACATCGCATTCACCTCTTCCCTTTTAAAACATAAATACTCGAAGTACAAATGAAACCACAGAACTCACATGGCAACGCAGCATAATCCCAAGGGAATTTCACTTGAGTTCACAGTCACACTATTGAAAGTCTAGAGTAAGACTATGCAGGGTGGTCACACAAAACAAGGGGCTACTGCCCTCCTTATATTTTCAATAATTATGTAGGCTTTTTTTCAAGGTAACTGAAGTGACAACTGCAATCCACAGGTTGATTAAACTGGAGAAAAGTACTTGTAGGTAAAATAAAGCTGCAGCATATTGGACAGAAGACAGGATTCTGGGAAAAGTGGAGGATTTAGAGTTGCTCCTCATTGCTGAGTACTCTGTTCTTCCAATGAGAAGAATCAACGTTAGCAAATAAGATGCTCTGGGTGAGATCCACTGCACTTAACTTCAGCCACCTAAAAATCAAGCAACTTAGCTACAGATCATTATTCTCTAGTTTTCCTCAAGAGCCAACGGAGTCATCTACATCTCTCTAACAGGCAATTAATCTTATCCAAACACTGGTGTCAAAATCAAATCTATCTCACTGGTGACTATAGAGGGAGACCAAGTGATTGTCTTAGCCTAGGCATATCAGTTTTAAACAGATGAAGACAGGTTATGATAAATCACATCCTTGCAATTGGTCTGAAGGTAAAGCAAGGGAAAACTGGAAACAAGGAAGCTACAAATATCACTGCAGCCTAGTTTCAAGCTACAGTCTGCTTCTAAACCAGCCTGTGCCCTGGAGGCTTATCACTGAAATCTTTAAAAGCTTTCCTCTTTTCTGTTTCTCTTCCCCCACTCTTCCAACCACACAAATAAACAGAAGCTGGCTTTAAAGACAATCCAAGTATCTTGAAACCAAGCTATTCATTGGACAGCTTCAATTTTAAGGATCTGTTAAAATGTTTTAGTACAGCTCCATTTTATAAGTTCTGTGCTCTTAGCAATACTCCACAATACCTCAAATTATTATTATTTTTTTAACCTTAAATTATTGCTACTCTACAGATGTTTATAGATAAAGTTACAGTAGGCAAGACATCAGCCCAGGGCAAGTCAAAGCACTTTAAACATCATAAGGGCTGGACCATGAACAAAATTCAGGTGTCTCAGCCATCCCCCCTTGGCTATCTGAAAGCATTCAAAACCTCACAAGGAACAATGTAACACTACACAGAAGGAGATTTAGACCATACTTCTCCCAAGGAGTTGTAAAACACAAGCGAATAAGTATTCCTATTTTTTCAGGACATCTGGCAATCCAGCTGTCACGTAAAATAAAAGGAAAGAAATATCCCTCTAAACTTTTGTATTTTTGTTAGCAACAATTCTGTCATTAGCACAAAAGTTTTGCAATTTTAGAACATAAGAAACAGGGTTGATACCAATTGTTTGCTGTAGAAAAACATGGAAACGTATTAGTAACTACAGGGAAAGTCTAAGCATTCTGCAAAATCTTATTAAAGGCAAAGTTTGGTAAGTGGAATATAAGATGACATGATCCCAAAACATTATATGGTACCTCCAAAAGTAGAAAACAACTAAGAGATTCATATAGAGCCAGTTTTATTATGGAGCTACGTTTGTACCCACATTTTCAAGCAGCAAGCTGTCGTGTGCTTCAGGCAGCCCATCCAGTTGCTGCTGGAGTTGCTCAGGACCACAACCCTCAGAAATGCATGTCTGACTTTACAGTAAGCAAGTTCGATAAAAGTCACAGGCATTGCAGTGCTAACACAACATACATATAGGAAACAACATACATTTTTTATATTAAGTACAAAGTCACAGTGCTAAAGACACACTGATTTCAAAGTTAGCCTCCAGTTGACAATCTGTCCTCACTCCACCTTTACATCATTAGCAGCCCTCCCCA